TTTCTGAAAACAGAGCAGGAAAACACGAGTTACAAAAGAACCCTGAGCACCCACGGCACAGAAACTTCCTGCCGGCCTGTCTGCCCTGCCCAGAGATAACGTATCTCACATTTTTTTTTCTTTTGCATGGATAAAGTTAAGACAAAAAGCCATCCATGAAAGGTTAAATGGTTCATTTGTCCGAGATGTTTGTGGCTGCTCCGCTTGCTGGGAGTTGGGGGACACGGGAGTCACGTTTACATTTTAATGGAGGGAAAGTGGAGGTCTAAAGAGAAATCAGCCTGCAAAATGGAATTCCTCCTGTTAGTGGGAAAGGCTAATTTAATCAAGAAGAAAGGACTTGGGGAAGCGGCGTTGCTCTGAGGTTTCAGCCGCAGGAGAAGCCCGGTGCAAGCTCGGCCCTGCTTCTGAACTGCTCCCGAGCAGTCCAGCCAACGCTGGGCTTGGCAGTCTGAACTTCAAGTGGGGCCATTTAAGCTGATCAGAGGAAACAGGCTGACAAGGAGCTGATTAGAAACCTCTTAGCGACCCTTCTTTAAAGAGGGAAAGGAGTTCTTCACGTCTTTCCCTTGGGCCTGGAGAGGGACCGGGTGTGCGTACTGAAGACGGAAGGTTGGGGGGGGGGAGACCGGAGCGGGGAGGGGGGCGCCTGCCTCAGAACAGGAACAGAAAACAGCCTCCTTGCCAGATCCTTGCCAGCCTTCCTGCTCTCATCAGGCTCCCCTCTGAGGGAATGTTTGAAGATAACAGGAAAGGAAACCATGAAACAAGTGGCCAGGACGAGCAAGCGACTTAAAGAGACGAGGACAAGCTGTTTTTGTGACCCAGGCTTATCTCAAGCCTGCCAAGAACTAGCCATCTATCAGAGACCCATAAATAGGTCAGAGACATCCAAGGGAAAGGCTGCTTTCCACAATAAAAGGACTTGTGACTACGTCCACAAGAAAGCCTAGCAGCTCCCCTAGGCAGCCTGGCACCCCGCAGGCAGAAGTGTGCTGTTGTTTCCCACAAAAGGGGGAGCCTGCTTTATGAGCCAAATGTTTATCAGGAGTGAAGGGTCCCTCCAGAGCTGTCCTAAGCATATCACCTCTTAGAGGGAGCAGTTCACAACCCCAGCGCCGTGTAAGAGTCGCCGACAGTAGCACACATGGGGGAAAAGCCCGGCTACAAAAATCTAAGTAAACGAGCTGCCCTTTCCACAAAACCTTTCTGGCAAGCAGGAGGCTCAGGCTAAGGATGTACTGACTGGATTCAAAGCGTCCCCTAAATGGAGAAAGTTGGGGGTATTGGTGGGGCGTGGGCCCCAGGAGAGACATCGAGCAAATCTGATCCTCAGAGAAGTGCTCATGCAGACAGGGGCAGCTGGGCTGCTGAGAAGAGCTGCGTGGATCCGAGGCCCGCAACCCAACCTAAGGCTTACAAATTAGCTTTCAGTAAATATTATCCTTCCCGTCTCCAGTGAAGAGCTGCAATCCCAAGTGAAGCCAAATTAGAAAAAGACGCAATTCAGCTTTTAAATACACAGCACCAAACCTGGCATCTCCCTCCCACTCCACCAAAATAGCTTGGTGATGTCATGCTTTTCCATCCTCCCCCCAAAACCAGCCACCCACCCCTCCTAAAAATAGCTTGATGCAGTTCTGAAGGAAAGAAATGGGGGACTCAAAATATTTTTTAAAAAAAATTTTTTTTTCCACTTACACTGTCAAGCAATCAAAAGCGAATCTTCTCTTTCCTGTTTACCTGGTCTCGACTGTGAGAGAGAGACTGTGTGTGTGTGTGTGTGTGTGTGTGTGTGTGTGTGTGTGTTTCCTGAAGGCTCTTTGGAAACTGTACAAGCAGGAAAAATCTTTTAAAAACGAGTTTAAAGTTGTCATATTTCTGAAGCTTCTCTCTTTTGTAAAGTTTCCTTTTGTTCTCCACCAGTCCATACCAGAAGCAGGAGCAACCGTCTTCTTATTTTGGAGCCTTCTAAAACTCTCACTGTATTTGTAGGAAAGAGAACCACAGTAAGGAGTCTCAGGAGCGTAGACCAGTGAAGGCCTCAGGAGTGTAGACCAGCAGTCCCAGACATGCCTTCCTTTCAAAACATCTCTGAGACTTTTGCAACATGACAGCTGGGGGTTCTGATGAACCTATGGAACGAGTAAGGAAAACTCAAGAAGCTGGATGTTTGAAAGGAGCTCAGGGCTCCGGTGCAGGCGGGCACCACAGCGCTCAGTTACCATGCATGAGGAACTCCAGCACCACACATGAAAAATTTCAAACAAACAAACAAGTTATCTAGGTATGAAGGAGGGCTGCTGACCGTGAGGATTCCTCAGCCCTGAGAACCCAATATAGACTGTAGTGAGGCTGTGTCGGAGAGCATAGTCACCCTGTCCTTCTCCTCACAGCTCCAGGGCACCTTGTCCTAGCTCTGAAGGACACCGCTGGGCCGATGCCAGCTATACCAAGCAGGCTTGTCATTCTGGAACACCCCTCAAGGAGTTCGGGATCCTTCTCCCACTTCCTTCCCATCTCATAAACTGCTCCAGGCGGTCTTTGATCTCAGAGTAGAACTCCTATAAAAAGAAGGCCAAGTAACCTAGATGAAGAAAATCATTATCCAGGAATCCAGTAAAAGATGCGTTAAGGGGGCCCCTGCTGGGGATGTGAGATTTAGTCCCTTAAATTCTAAGCCAAACAGAGGGAGGGCAAAGGCTAAGAACTTCCAGCTAAATTTGCCCTCTTGTTAGCTGTCATTTCCTGGCTTGTTGAGCAACTCAGAAAATTTTTTCTGGGGTTAAAGCATTGCTTTCTTATCACTCTGAATATTTAAATACCAGTATATTCATCAACTGTTTCCTTAACTGAGGTTTCACTTTTTCAAGTCAAATATCTGTTTGCATTTATGGTTTTGATATTTTGAAAGTCTCACTATGTAGCCCAGTTGGCCTCAAACTTGAGCTCCTCCTCCTGCCTCTGTCTCCCCAGTCCTGGGATTATATACACACACCACCCACCTGGCTTCTGCCTGGGTAGTTTTAAACTGTTAAAGTTTGGATTAAATTGGGCCATGAGGATGGGACATGTTTTCAACGTTCTGTCTTTGGTCAGCACTCCTCCTAAACCATCCCAGACAAGTGATCGCTTCACTGACCTTACAGACAGTGCCAGCACGGGCACTTAGCATCTCCTGGGACCCCTTCCCATTCCCCTGCACTCACTGTCCCTGGGGATGTGGACTGGATTCCTAACCACCCGCTTCAATTCTTGTAAAATTCCTCCTACATGATCTCCTTCACATGGGGATTTTTGACATCTGTGTTTTTGAGGAGCTTTAGTCCCCCTGCCTGGCATCTTCTAAGTTCCTCAAGATTCTTCCAGGAGTGGCACGCAGTGCCCAGGAGGGTCTAGAACCAAATAGCGTCCCACAGACCGTAGTGTCTTAGACAGCCCCTCTACCCAGGCTCACCTGGAACCTTCAGGTAAGCGTAGCTATTGATCTCAGACCTGAACAGTGCAGGACCCAAAGAGACACAGTGCCACTGAGAGAGGAGGAGTAGTTCAAAGGCCATTCTCACCCAAGGGACACATCTAGGAGATTCCTGGAAATCAAGCTGGAATAGTAGCAAGAATGCAGCGAAGCCTGAAGGTCAGGTCGAAAGCCTTGCGAATCATCATAAGGGCCACACAGAGCCAGCCGTAGTCTCTAAAGAAAATGACATGGAAGAGATTGAAGGTGGCAGCTGCAAGCAAGAAGCACCTGCTCCATGCTGGGACCCAGCCCGGAGCCTAGCAATGCTAGGCAAATACTGTGCCACGAAGCAAGCTACATTCTCAGTCGTACAAGATGTACGGAGCAGGAAAACTTGTAATTAGGGAAAAGTACAAAGGCTTCCACTAGCTGGCTAGGGTGGTGCACACTTATATTCCCAGTTGTATTGGTGACGCTGAGTCAAGAGGATAGAAAGTTTGAGGTCAACCTAAGCAGTTGAAGCAAATTAGTGAGACCTTGTTTCAAAAACCTTTAAGAGGATTGGGGATGTAGCTAAGTGTAAAGGCTCTTGGTTGAATTCTCAGTGATACCAAAAAGGCAGGGCTAGGCGCCTCCATTAAGCGTGTTGACCTACACTGAGTCAAAAATCTTGCTAAAGTCAAAGTGAATCAGGGCAGTGCCTTGGCTTTAACCCAGCAGGCCAACTGAGGTCTCTAAGGACGGAGGACACTCCTCCCACCAGGCCTATATGGGCAGCCCGCTGCTCTTCATAGGTGTGCTGGCTGGTTTGAGTATTATTAACTGCTCCTCCCACTGCTACCAGTGCCTGGTCCAGATCTAAGCGCATCAGAGTCACAGAGCACTGGGCTTAGAGGAAACACCAGTCCTGAGAACCACCCAGGTGCCTGGAAGTGAGCTGGAGCAGAGTGCAACCTGCAGAGGCCACAAGCGAAGCAAAGGCCATTCCACCATGCTCACTGGCGAGTCCAACCCTTCATTCAACAGGCAACAGACCCATAAGCATCTGGCAAGCCATGTTATGAGCTTTTTTATTTTATTTTATTTATTTGGTTTAGGGTCTTGATACAACTACTTAGACTCATAGTGATCCTCCTGTCTTAGCCCCTCTAGCGCTGGGATTATAGGCATGTACCACCACACCTGGCTTCCATGGCTGGCATGGCACGCCCAGGGTTCTGGGCTGGCACAGCATGGTATTGAACCTGGGTTCTTGCGCTTGTCAGAGAGGTGCTTAGACCACTGAGCTATCGCCCCAGCCTCTGGAAAGTCAGTGTAAATATGTGGGTAGGTGAGACCACAGGAGGAGATCTCATATATGTGTGTATGGTATCATGTGATTGACCCAAGAACACAGGTGTCCTTGCATGTAAACTCACATGAGGCTCTATGGTGCTAGAGACAGAGCTAATATGTCCACAACTAATTTGGCAAACAACACACACAGAGAAGCTTCCCCTTGACTCAGCTTGCAGAAAAAAATATGAATGATCTTTATCACTGGGCTCCCTGTGGGGCAGAGCCTGGGAGCAAAAAGGGTGACTTCTAAGTAGCAATCTTATTTATTAACACTCCCACCTCCCCAAGGGCCAGCAAGTACAAGGCGTGCTGCTTTCAGAGTCTGCTTTCTATCTGGCGACGTTTTCACTTACACGGGCAGGAGTGTGTGGTGCCGCCCCGCCGAGCTGGGGTACAGGCTCCTTTCCAGGTGGAGCACTAAGCCTCACAGTTGGCAGGAGTCCTGTGGCTTTGGCTTTATCTCTGCATAGGGGACCAGGCTCCAACATGCTGTATGATTCGCTCGCTTCTCGCAGAATAATGAGGGATTTGAGAAGTCACTTAACAACTTGATCGACCAATTTTTCTCACCAGTGGCCTTTAGCAAAATTGCCTTCTTTCTCCCCTGGAAAAGGATGGGATGACTTCTAGGGATCCGGTGGCATCTACACTGCAGGATACCCACTTGGAGGCCCTGCAGCCACCAGGGCGGGGGCAAGGGCCCTGTGGGGCTTAGTGAAAGTTGTTAGTTGTGCCTTAGCTTCAACTAAGTGCAAACCCAGAGGTGAAAAGAGGATCAGCAAAGCCACAACACTGAAACTCCTGAAATGAAAACCAGGCGTCTTCAGGAGGCACCGAGGACCACAGTGGGCACAGCTGGCAGGGACAGCCACCCCTCTCCCCAGCTGGACTTCTCAGCAGAGGAGTAGTGCTCATGAGGAAGGTGCAGAGATGAGGTACAGGCATACTGACTCATGGGAGCAGAGCAAAGGCAGAAAGAGAGAGCAAAAGAAGAAATGTAAAGGAACAGCATGGTGAACTAGTGTTGGTGGTAGCTCACCTGTTATCCCAGAACTCTGGGAGGCTGAGGCAGGAGGATTATAAATTCCAGCCCAGCCTGAACAAGTGAGTGAGATCCAGCCTCGACACAAAATAAAAAGGGCTTGGAATGTAGCTCAACATAAGGGCTATAGGATCCTTCTCTCTTCTCTCTCTCTCTCTCTCTCTCTCTCTCTCGCTCGCTCTCTCTCTCTCTCTCGCTCGCTCGCTCGCTCTCTCTCTCTCTCTCTCACTCTTGCTCTCTCACTCTCGCTTTCACTCTTACTCTCTTGCTCTCGCTTTTGCTCTCTCGCTCTCTCGCTCTCAATCTCTCGCTCTGTCTCTCTGTGTCTCTCCCCCCTCCTCTGTGAGCGAGAGAGAGATACATACACACCAACAACTCTAAAAAAGGAAATGTCAGGTTTAGGAGGATGAAACATTCCTAGCTAGTGGCCTGCATAAAGAAATGATCTAGAACATGGTAACAGCTAACTCCTTAAAAATCTTGGAGGGGTCAGCTGTAGTGGTGTACTCCTATAATCCCAGCACTCAGGAGGCTGAGGCAAGAGGATAGCTGTGATTTCAAGGCCAGAGTGGGCCACAAAGTAAGTTCAAGGCCAGCCTGAATTGCAGAGTGGGAAAAAAAGACAAAAAGCAAAACAAGAAAGAAAGAAAGAAAAAAAAAACCACCACCATCATCATTGACAACAACAACTCAAAAAACCCCAATAAAATCTAACGATTTTTGCTTTTAAATCTTGGAGGTTGCCACAAATGTGGCTCAGAAGTAGAATACTTGCCTGACATGCACCAGGGTATAAATAAACAAATAAACTAACATAAAATCTTGAAGAAGCCCCTGCATCCCCGGCCCACCTGAAAGACCTTTGCTCAGGTGTAGAGCAGGGTCTCGGCAGAGGAGGCAGTGAGAGGAGCATCGGGTTTGAACGACTTTCAGCTGAGAGGAAAGCCCAGTCCATCAGGGTGTACTTCAGGAGTCTTTTAATGACCCCCAGATATAACTTAATAGAGAAGAACAATTGACTCTGTAGAAAGAGCCAAGATCGGATCAATAAGGAAAGAGAAAAGAGGGTGCATGTAAAGCTCAAGTGACACTGGGACATTTTCATCCAGAAGCCCTGGCTTTAGGGTTGTTTGTTTCTGCATTGGATACTGTACTTACATAATTTCTTTGTGTGAGCTACATCCCCTGCCCTGTTTAAGTGATTTTCTATTACCTAAGCTGGGCTTGAACTTGAGATCCTCCTGCCTCAGCTCATCAGCCTCCCAGGATTCCAGGCTTAAGCCACCACAGTTGACTGTGGCTTTTGTTTTCTAATATTTAACAACTTATTCCACATCAAAAGAAAAGCTCTCCATACAAAAAGGTTACAGAGTCAGGAAGAGCCCCATGTTCCATAAAGCGATCTCCACGTGCTCCTGAACATGACCAGCGAGGCATCTTTCACCCCCGGGGAAGCCGAGCGCAGTACAAGGCCCCATGCTACCCTCAGCCCCAGAGGCAAGCCGGGAGCCACCCCATGGCGCCTTTGCAGGGGACAACACTTGCCAGAATTAGCTCTGTGCACACAGCCTCGATTGTTGCATGCAGTGTCTCGGGATAAGGAGGAACAAGATGCATTTGTCCTATTTGTGACAGAGGGCCACAGAAATGAGGAGCCGGGGGAGGAGGAACTGAAGGAAAATTGCATGTTTGAAGGGAGTCAGAGAGGCAGCAGAGATGAACATTAAAGGAAGGAGGAGAAAAAGAATACAAATCTAGAGTTTCTAAATTGCCTTTGGCTCAAGGGTCTGGTTTACCACTGAAACAGTATAATTATAAAGTTGGCGTAAAACAGACCAAGGATCTAGTTACTAATTTCTTACTAGCAATAGCATCAAAGCCTTTTCTGCTAGTAGCTGGTCTCTTGACAAAAACCGTGTGTCTCCTGCGTGATGGCACCTATAGGGAGAGCTGGTTTCAATCAGGCCTCGCTGTAAAATGGAATGCAGTCGCGGTCTCACTTCTCAGATGTCGATCCGAGTGGAGGAGAAAGTGAGGGTTGGGATTGTCAAAGTGACTAGTGAGGGGAAACAAAAACATTTTACATAAATGCCCCCTTGTCTCATCCGTGCAGCATGCAGGCGAGGTTTGTCAGAAAATTTAGTAGGAACCCTTGGGTGCATTGGAGAAAAATGACCAGAGGCATTTCTGTTGTGCTCATGTTTTTGAACTAGATTGTGCCTGACCTCAAAAAGGAAATTCTGGCCTGATTACAGTCTTAAGTGGGTGCTCAGGTCCCCTGAACGTTGGTTACAGAAATGCTTTCATTCACACCCCATTTTAGTTAATAAGGATCCCAGGCATCAAAGGCGCACTCTGGCCTTGCTGTTTACTTTGGCATCCAGGAAGCCTGGGATTCCAAAAGAGATGGCTCATTCCTAAGGTACAAAATTCCCCTTAAAAATGTATAGAATTTATAATGGCAAGCACTTTTCTCTATCTTATTATTGCTTTTGTTGTTTGGGAGAAAGTGCCAAATTGAAAACAGATTTAAAAACATAGCTATAACACAGTAGCCTTTATCCAGAATGAAAACCTCTAGTACTTTCCCATTATAACTAACCAAGCTTCCTGAGAGGTAGTGGAGGGTATCAAAAAAGCTGGGGAAGG